CAATTTTAAGCTCCCACTTTATTTTATACAAGAAACATAAACTTATCAACTTATGTTTTAAAAAGTAAGAAAAATAAAAACTACAAATAAAATAAAACCTGGTTGCTGACATTTTTTTCACCCAACATTTAAGTGCTGAAGTACTTAAATTTTTGAGCACCCACAAAAAACACATAAGTATATTTTTGGTTGATTCCATTGAAAGTTTTGGTGTTCTTGAAATCTAAAAATTACAAAAATAAAAAATAAAATATAATCAGAATTACACTAAAACAAAATTTGGCTTTTAAAAAAAAAGGGATTCAGCAAAATTAATTTGATATAAATATATGTAGAATCTAATCAATTGTAACTATAAAACACAGTTAAGAAAAAACTGATCTCATTGAGAATTTAATTATGATAAAAACCAATATCATTAATTTAACCTAAAAGCATAAACAAAACAAAATAATAACAAAAAAAAGCTTTATAAAAGGGAGGACAATAAGATGGGATAAATGATCGAAATATGAAAATTTAAGATTTATAGATCAAATATCCTAACATAGCAGTAAAGGTAACCTTATCCTTAGGGATATGATTGTGTCACTATGGTGTTTCGAAGAGGACACTAGCCACTTTTTCTCTCATCAGAGCAATGATTAAAATCATGTTGTGTTTTAGCGACTAGCATCCAACCCATATCCTACACCACATCCACAACTCTATTGCAACTCTATTGCAACTCTATTGCAACTCTATTGCAACTGTTACATTTCTATTTTAGTCCTAATCTCCCAGGGAGATGTTAAATAATACTTTACTTGAGACTGTATATCTTGGCGATCATCTCTACTTTTCTGCAGGACACTAGATGTTGCAATTGCATTTGCTACAGATTCATTAATTAACTCATCTTTTTCACTTTCATAGCCATGCAATGTGGGCAAAATCTCCATCACAATGGCAAGTAAAGGTAAATACAAAGCTGCGATGCGACTACGACACTCAGGTAAATCATAGCGACTGTCAACATCATGTAATGAGATTGCATCTTTTACTATGTCAACAGCTTGAGACATAGCATCATTTTCGCTGGAAAACATTTGAAAAGAAAAAAATTGAGAATAATGCAATTATTAAAACAATGGTTAATGCAAGAAAAAAAAAAATACAATTGATCCAAAAAATAACAATATCAATTTGAAAAGTAAAAAAACGTCAATTTAAAAAACATTTATTTAAAGAAAAAACAAAACAAATGTCAGTCAAACTTGAAGCAATAACACTTAAAATCAAAGCTATCAGGCAATAGCATTAAATAATTTTTTTTTAAATTATTTAAACAAAATAGTTACTTAGTATCAAAGCTGTTTTTAACTTCGCACAGCAATGCTCCTATCAAAAAATGCTGCTCTCTAAAAGCAATCGAAAGCTCTGCAATACCAGCAGATGAATCTTGTACCATCATAGAATAAAGAGATGAAGTGTCGCTCATTGCACTTTTTAATGATACAGTTGGCGATTTCATTGAAGGTGCATCCATAATGGGAAAAGGAAGATTTAAAACAACAAAATGTTCATGACTAGAAAGAATCTGCAAAAACTCCATTTTGAGAGATAATAGATTTTGATCTATAAAACCATTGGCATCAGACATCTAAAACAATATAAAATAAAATATATAACATTAATTATAACAATAATAACAAAATATACAAATTTCTCCATTTGTGTTTGGAGAAAGTAATTTATACTAACTTATTTATTATTATTATTATTATTATTATTATTATTATTATTATTATTATTATTATTATTATTATTAATTTATTATATGCAATACTAAAATATACTGTAACATACTAATAACCTCTTTCAAATAAATTTTAACCAAATTCAAAACATATCCTCTGTCCATTAATGAAAATAAATCATTCAAAAAAAATGCCAGACTGAAATTCAATATTTGTGAATTTTGGCTCTAAATTAAAAAAAAGAATGTTATTGAGAAAACTTGTCATTTATATATATATATATATATATATATATATATATATATATATATATATATATATATATATATATATATATATATATATATATATATATACAAATAGTATTGCGTACTATGGCAAGCAATCTGACGTCATACTGAAACAGCCTGCTGCTGGGGGATACAGTACATACATCGACTGACAAATAGCCTGACTCGCAGTGGAGTGCTGCTACATCAACTGAGGGTTTGGGATGGGGAAGCAATCGTTTTATTCGTCATTCTTCGTTTTTTCTTCTTTTTCGAAAAAAACGGTATAGCCTAAGGTAAGCAGAAAAAGTGAGCAAATGCTTATCAAAACACGCTTTAGTAAGTGTATATATATATTATATATATATATATATATATATATATATATATATATATATATATATATATATATATATATATATATATATAAGCCTTTTGAGGAGACATGTGAGGTTGCATTCTTTATATGATAGTACATAGAATATTTTATTTTAAAAACTTGGTCATGGCTCTGGCATGTTTTAAGTTACCCCATTTAAAAATGTGCTGAAATAAAAATGTAAACTTAATCTGAAATTAAAAAAAAATAAACTGGAGAGAGAAGTAAAAACTAAAAACAAAAAAATACAAATTAATCGATCAACCTCCGATCAAAAACTGCAGTCAGAAATCAAAATATAATCACTTTAAAAATTTTCTAGAATTTCGACTATTTAATGGTTTAGGTGCCATTAAAATTTAATGGCTGATTTATATTTTTTTGGTTTTATAACTTAACACTTTTAGGCTATTAGCAATATAAAATTATTTTAAATGTCCAATATTTTCAGGGGGACAAACAGCATCTGTTTAGTTGACATTTTGACATTTGTACTGTTTTACTATGTTTTCTTTAAGTGCAGTATTTTTTTTGCTAACAATTGTGATTTAATTACATTAGATTTATATTACAATTTACTTTAAACCATTTTTAAACAATATTTACACAATTTGTATACTTTACTTCAATATTTTCTATATAAAACAATTTTTAACTGATTTAAAATAATTTTTTTAGTAAAAAAATTGTCTAAAAGTTCTAAATAACAAAATGGGAAAAAAAGAAGACATCAGTTAAAAAAAAAAAAAAACAATTATTCAAAATCTTCTGACAGATAAGTATTACTTGATAAGTGAAATACCAAGAAAATGTGAGATACCAAGATGTACTAAACAGAAACAAAGACAAATTGAAAAATGGTCTCCCATTAGATATTCAGAGGCAAGGCAGAAAAAATAACATCAAGTAATGACAAAATATTGAAAGAAAATGGATTTGCTAAATACTCAGCAATTACCAGCAAGTTGATTGAAGTGAGACTAAATGTAGCAACAATCACTATTCAACAAAGTTTGCATGGATTGGGCATAAGAAGTAGAACATCTGCAAAAAAGCCAAATTTAACCAATTCTCTGAGCAAAAAGGGTTAGGCAAAAGAAGTACAGTAGTTTCACTGTTGATCACTGGAAATTGACAAACCATTATAATACAAAAATATCTATTTTTTTCCTAATATTCCATTGTTTTCTACAGGTATGCTTTATCAATGAGTCTACCATAGAAATTATGACTTAAAGGCTCAATATGTGAAAAGGGCTTCCAATGAAAAGTTCAATGAAGATTTTATAATCCAGATAATTAAACACCCTCCTAAAGTCATGTTTTTGTTGGTTATTGATGGACAAGGCTTGGTCAACTCTACATTGTGAATGGAATATTGAAACAGGACCAATACAAAAAAAGTCATTAAAACCAGTCTTTAACCTCAACTAAAGAAGTGGAACTACCCAGATTTAAACCCTAAGTAAAATGTATGGGGGGCTATTAAAGAGAGAAATTTTGCTAGAAAAAATCACAAATAGGATCAAGTTGATTGGAAAACGTTAATTGGCATTTGAAAAATAATGCATATTTGAAAGTAAATGCAATTTAAATGGTTTTAAATTGCATTTACGGCATGCCAAATTGTTATCATACAGTTCTAAAAATAAATGAGGATAAACAAAATATTAAAAACGATTTGTTGCCAGGAGTTACTAGAAAAAAAAAAAAAAATTATAGACCAAGAAATGGTTGGCAAAAGACTTAAACAGTTAAAGGTTGTATGAGTCAGTTCCAAAGGGTTGAAGCTTGGGAAAAAAACTAGATGAACTAAAGTTTTCGGAGCATGCAGGGACAGACTAAAAGAATGAGACTTTGATGAAAGACAAGTCAAGGGAGAGTTTTAGTAGATCAAGAGATGATAGCTCCTTTGAGCAGTTACCATGGTAGTATTTGCAGAAAAGAGAAGGAGATGCAACTTTATGATGATGGAAAAAAGGTTCAAGCTAAGCAGGTAGAGTGGATCCAGAAAGAGCACCATTAGAAGAACCAGCCCAAATATGACAACAGTATTTTATACAGGGATGAATAAGAGATTTGAAGAGGTAAAGAATGGAATCAGGAGATAGAAAATGGAAAGCACAATAAAGAGAAGCAACCTTAGTAGATGCTAATTTAGCAATCAATTGTATATATGGTTTCCAAGAAAGGTAGTAGAATACGATAATCCAACAAGGCGTTTAGAAGAGGACTCAGTGAGAGGGTTGCTATTCATTAATTAGGAATGTCAACACTACTACAATGGTTGTTTGCAGTAAACAATTGAGTTTTGTTAGGGTTAAAATTTACAAGCCACTGTGAGCCCCAATCTGTTACAGAAATGAGATCTAATTCAAGATCAGCTGGCTGTTCTAAGCAATCGAAAAGAGAAGACTTTTTGTCAAGAAAGGAGTATAAACTTGAGTCATCAGCAAATGGAGCTATTTTAAATGTAAGGTTGTAGGGAAGATCTATAATCTCGATAAGAAACAAAATAGGATAGAACCTTGAGGTACCACAGAAGTTAAAGGGATCCCTAAGTGATATAAAGATATGATCTCACATGAAAGAGCATTGAAAAAAAAAAATGTTTGATGTATATTATCTTTTCTAAAACGTAATAATGAACACACACTAACAAATTTAATTTTCAAAAGAACGCTTTTCTTCGACTAAAAAAAATGCATCTTGTCCAAAGTTTATTGACTCTAGTGCCTCAAAAATCTAACGTTTGTACGTCAAATTAAACAAAGTAGGCAAAATGTCATTACTGCAAAAGTATTAGTTGGTAATTAAATTTAAAAGAAAGTCGTTTTTTTTAACTAACACATAATTTTTTTTATTTTTTTTTTTTTAATTCACCTCCTCAAGGCCGAGAAGGCCACTACAGACGAGGAGGCTACTTATTTGTGGCTATAACCCTCTCTCAACTCTATAACTCCGAAACACGAACCTTGACGAATAAGGCCGCTGCGCGGAGAAACGAGTAGAGCGCGGTACTACCAGGGACGTGGTGGGGATCGAACTCGGAACCACTCGTTTATGAAGCGAGCGCTCTACCACTACACCACTACCGCATAATTACTTACAAGAATAAGTTTTGTAGCATTTTGTGAAAATATATTTGTATATTAAAATATTTTTGATAACTTTTATTTATATATTTGTGTTTTTAGGGCAAATCCACAGCCAAAAATGAATAGAAGTCAAATTTTAAACTCTTTTTAGTCAGTTTTTAACAAATGAATATTGATGTAGACACATAAAAGTTTATTTAAAATATTTCCTTAGTACAAAAATTAATTTATTTCAGTCATTTTTATGGTTTCGAAAGTGACGGTTATTCTCATTTTCGCTTGATAAAAAAAATAACTATTGTAAAATGTTTTAGTTAAATTAACATTTATGTTAATTTTGCTATATTATTTTGGTTCAAATTGATAAGGTTGAATAGACATTTTATTAGAAATTAAATTAAGACAGGACTCGAATTAACGCAAAAAAATCTAATCGAGATAAAAAAATATTTTTTGCTCCCCCCCCCCATCTCTTATAGCTCGATACTTAAAAAATAAGTAAAAAAATAAGAGTAAAAAGCAAACATTTCAGTGACAGATCCAGGGGAAGGATGGGGGGATGCATCCCCCTCCCCCTCCCCCCACCAGAACCTGAAAGTCTTGAAAATATCATAGAAATTGAGGACCTTGTTTTTGGCTTTTTTTTAGGAGACGCAAACATGGTACAAAATTCAAAAATATTTCAACATACTCCACCAAAAATTCCTGGATCCGTCACTGCAATATTTACGATCAAGCTGACGATAAACATGGTTTTAATGAGTATTTAATTGTTATTGTAAAAAGCTATAAAACAACAATAAAACAAAAAGTTGTCTTTAAAATATAAATAGCTTGTGTTAATGTAAAACAACTTCGTGACGCTGTTTTGCTGCTGTTTTATTCAGTTTAATAACATAAAATGCGTTTAAAATAAAACGAAGCAAATTAATGAAATGGTTTTAATTAAATAAATTAAAAAATTATCGTCAATAAATCAAAAAACATCGTCAAAAACTTTATAAAAAATTAGATACCAGATTTTTTATAATTTATTGTTTCTTGAATAAAGGACTAATAAAAGTTTAAATATAATTAAGTTTTTCATTTAAATGGTTTTTAAGTTGATGTTTTTATTCAATTTCTCTATTTCAATTGTTATCCAATAAAAAGTGAAACAAAAAACTTTTAATAAATCAAATTATACTTCATGTTTAAAATAAGGCTTAAAAACGTTAAAGTAAAAAAATAGCTGGATTTTATTAGCATTTTATACTGTTTGAAAAAAAAAACTAATAAAAAAGAATTAACTAATAATATATTAATTAATAATTATTAGAATTAATAATAATTAATTCTTTTTTATTAGTTTTTTTTTCAAACCGTATAAAAATACAAATAAAAGTCAGCAATTTTTTTGCTCTAACGTTTTTAAGCCTTATTTTAAACATGAAAATTTGATAAACAAAGATAAAAACCAGGCTGTTTTGTTAGAATAAAGAAAAAAATTCGAATTAACGTCTTTTCCCTTTTCAGCTTTTCGCTAGAATGACATTTTAAAAATTTTCCACACAGAGATTTAAAGTAATTTAAATTCAAAAATGTTTTACGTTGAAAGAAAATCTCCACGCGAAAGTGCAAATCATCTATTCATCTATCTATTCAGAATAATAAACGTCCTTTATGATAAAAACATTACTTTTAAGAATTGCTAAACAAAATGCTAAGCTAGAAAAAAAGTAATTAAACAACCAAAAAAAAAAACAAATCGCAAAAAGATTTTTTTTAATAAAAAACTAATTGCAAAAGTGTGAAAAGCAATTGCGATCGCGATACGCTTAATACGAGCCCTGTAAGACTTTTTTTTCAACCGAATTCTATTATACTGTTTTTGCAAAACTAAATAAAAAAACTTGATTAAAACAACTATTTAATCACGATTTTTTTTTACTTAAAAATCGAAGTAGATATTCTAAAGTTGCTGTGACGTACTAAGGTGATTTTTAACGACTAACAAACCAGTTTCAATGGTAAAA